CAGTTGGGAAGATTATACAGGTGAGTTTAACGAGAAATGCTTAGACCAAGATGAGCGAGGATTAATTTGATTTTAAGGATCTCCTTTTGAAAACCCAGCTTGTTCCAGAAATGTATTGTTGGGCTCGCAACACGTACTTTGCTTCGTTTGAGGATGAATATCTGCCAGAAGTACCGGAAAGAGGGAAATCTATGGTAAGTGCTTTTGTATAGCACCCACTATGCAAAACCCACAAGGGTTGATTAATGATCAAGCCAAACTTACAAGCTGTCACAGGCTTTTAAAATGACCTTTTAGATAAATTAGCGAGCCACAAGCTTTTTTAAGATCATTACTAATGAATTTTATAAGCAGATATTTCAGTGAATGTAATTTTGGCATTTCTGCTACTTTCAAAATACATCCATTCAATCAATTTTTGAAAAAAAGCTTTTAGGTTTCATATTATCAATGGGTCCCATTCTTCCTTGTTGTAGTAGCTTTCATGTTCTACTCCCCTTGTTTATTATGGAGGATACTCTACGATAAGTCTGGTTAGTTCCTTTTCGGTAGAAGTTCTCCGTGTTTATAAAAAATCCCACCAAATCACCTATAACTTTAAAAATATTGTTTCGATGATGATTATGGCCTTTGAGAAGTAGAGGAATAGATGGTTTTCCTAGCAAAATCAGTGCCTAATTTTAACCCAAAAAGAATTAAGTGCTAAGAGAGTGATGTGCAATATTTGAAAACAAGCAAGCGAATGATGTCCTGTAGAAGGCGCTAATATTTTGTCATGGGTTTCAGCAGAAGTTGACCTATCAATACCCTATCTGAACCTCATACTTAACTAGAAATCTGTTATTCAGGTATTCGACTAAATGACATAATGAACTTCGCTAATGACAAGTCCAATGTTCAACCTGGTAAGGAATCCTCCTTTAAGCTTTACTAACTCCAAAATCAATCTGTTAAAGCTTCCCGCCGAGCGAACATTAATGGATTGGCTATGCATCTGTCATCAGTGTTCAAGCATAGATTCCGATTCGGCTCTAGTCATCCATATCATCACAAGTGAATCTTAGAGCATTTTAAGGTTTTTTGCTAACGTCACAAAGGACATCTGTAATTTAGGCTTTTTAAATTTTTGAATCTACGTTTTTACGAGGCATATCTCACTTTTCTCTACATTGGGATCAAACTGCTCTTCCTTATTAATGTTCTTGTACAGGTAATACTCATATCACCTTCATCAACAATAAATAAGGTAATCTATCTCAGATGATCCTCCTTAGCCGCTTTCTACAAACAAACTCACAAGGCTTCTACGGTTACGGTATATTGTGGGATCTAGTTACCGGTCATGGTAGGCGACAATAAGCTTGTTGACACCCTAGCTACTTATATTTGCCTACTTGAGTTTTAAGGATGGACAGAGTCGCCGAATTTCCCCGTTGTCACCTATTGTGACATGGAGATTAGGATATTAGGGAATATTCAGAGGCATACGGTACAATGTGTGCTTGTTATTAATATTTTCACTGAAAAGGTGAGATACACCTTTTCTTGGGTGTTCCCGGTTGAGAATGATTTTTTCAGATCTTTTTATTGTTATGGCTTTGGTATACATTGTTGGCAATAATCTCATTTGGAAGCATTAT